TACATAAAAAATAAGTATGTATAACAATTAAATTCTAAAATGTAACTTGAAAAAACGTTTAAAAATGTTTGAACGTAAAAATTAAAAATGTATTATATAGTAAATATCGGCTATTTTATTAGCGCCATGATATAATGGGCTACTGAATACATGATTCTGTAAATTATCATTAGAATTTATTGTCTATCAGAGATGTTAAGAGAGGCCATTATACCTACAAGAGTCACAATATCACCTTATATGTATACATTGTATATAATATACATTGTATATAATATAAGATATTGTGTTCTAAAAAATGATAGAATATAATATTCAAAATCATCAATCATGCCGAAAGAGATGCGGTTATAAAATTCACTTTTATCATTGCGAAGTAAGATAACGCAGATTACAGTTAACAGAAAATATAATCACATTTTTATACAATAAAAGCAAGCTTCTTCTCATCGCCGAACAATATCACGTCAATGAATCGTCTAATGAATCACAATAATGGAACGTGTGACGAAATACGATTATATTTTAAAAGATTAGCGTATGTTTGCAGTTCGATATAAAAAAAGTCTGGACATCATCGGGTATATTTCCATGCGTGATTTTTAAATATTGTCACAACTTGCAAAATCGTATTGACGTTGCACCACGATCAATCAACATTGACGTCCGCGCGATGAAACATTGAACTGTATCAGACACACATAAAATTACAATGAATTAAAAATGAGGACAACTGCGATAGGATAGAATAACGTTAGTTATATATCGATAGTTAACAACGAGAGAGGCGTTACTGCGGATAACAATATTCGAAAAAATTCCGGTTGAAAATATAAAAATATCACAATGAAGTATCTATCACGTAACTGTCGATACCGAATAAAATAGTGAAGCTGCATTTTTACATACGCGAGAGTTCGTCATCAAAGATTGATAAAGATAAATAATTGGATAAACAACTCGCCACAAAAGACACAGAATCACAGAATTTTATTCTGGATATGTAGAAAAATAATCATTTGAACAACATTGCTAAAAGTGTAAACTCTCTTTCTTACGGAATGCTTTGTTTATAAATATCAAATTCATTTCATCAACATTTTAACGAGAATCTACTCATCGAGAACACTTAGCGTACATTAAAAGTTTAATTTGTTTGTCGTCCACGTAGTCAAGAGATAATAAAATTTTATATTTTATATTTTAAATTAATTCCAGTTAATCTTAAAATTGCATCTTATCCAAGAAATTGTATGAAGTTTGATAAACAAGATTGATATATTAAATTTTTAAAAGTGACAGGTACAAATTAAGATGCGTTATTATCTCTTATGACACTGTCACATCGAGATTAACCTACATTATTCATGTACAGTTCTACATTAAAACTTTTACTTATGATGGAATAAATTAATTTAAAATCTTCAAGAGAGAAGGCTGACAAATGCATTTTTATATGCAAAATCAATACAGAAATTCCAATGAATATTCAAACGACTTTTACTTTCAGAAGAATCGAACTTATTCGAATTGATTGAGGATTAAACTGGCTTTTATCAAGCAACTTAATAAGTGCCTTCAGATGTTCATTCGTTGGACAGATAATACAATATATGTTGCAGTTGCAATATATCTAATATACATATTTTAGTACAATATTGCGTGCAGCACATGACCATGAAGTATTTCGGTCTTTTGTCACGGAAACTTTGACATCACGAGGACAAGTCAATACTACAAATACGAATTACCATGCTAGTTTATATTGTAACAAAAATAGTGAAATCAAATCCGTTTCCGCATATATAAATAATTGCTGGTTAAGTTGCGGGGATTACCGTTTCTCTATTCAAGGATTCTCGTTCTCACGCTACTCTCGTGATTTCTGATTTCGCGCGAATTGCTAAGTTAATCAGAGTTGATTTGAATTTTTATATACTCGCTGTATACGCGTAAAGATTTACCTAAATAAATTTAGCTCTACATAATTCTTCCCGAGCGCGCAATTTAATCATGAAAAAACGTGGATTATTCTTATTTAATTATACAATAAGGAAGTGTCTAATTTTATTCTTTTTTATTAATCCCGCCACGGAGAAAAATGTAAATATGCACTAAAATCTAGTAAATTTTATGGAATTGGCAAGTCCATATAGAGACAGGTGTTGTGTGTAAAATTTACTTTAATTTTCTGATAAATGAACGATCATCGCATAGCCATACTGTAAAATACTTTTCGTAAAATAAATGTATAAATTATCACACATCTTAATAGAATTTACTTTATCGATAAATATTTTTTGCCTTATTACTAATAAAACTTTACTGCACAGTAACAATGTATAAAGTACTGAGAGTTATTTATGCTTACAGTCTTGAGAATAATATGATTTATTTTATTGTAAAATAATAATTATTTGAATGGATTAACTATAATTATAATGTACCTTGTACTTTATACCTTCGATATTTTTACTTTCAAGCAAGTAAAACTTAAAGCATAAATTCGGCAAAAATAAACAGAACATTTTTAATAGTCTTGTAAGATAAAAATTATTCAATCATTTTATTCCTGTTTTGATAAGGAATACATCGTTGAGGAATCGAACACTGATTTCCATCGAGAATCAGATTGTTTCTCAATCCAACCGATGATCATTACTGAACAATTGCAGGTTCGCCGCTAGTCTCATTACGAATTCGATTGACTTGCATTGTAAGAGAGACCCTCCCCATTCAACTCGGGATTCTCGCTTCGAGGTCTCGTTTGACTGGCTACCACTTGCACCGGTAATGAGGAAGTAGTTTAAACCGATTGCGATCTTTGTCGGTTAAGATTGAATTCGGTCGAGCGCCGGATGTGAATCGTTTAATATTCCCGTCATCCAAATACACGAAGGACTCGCCGGTGAACATGAATCGTAGCACGTAGTGCGGGGCATCATTCTTTCTTTGAGTGGGTTTTCAATGCTAATACCTCAAGTTTGAGCTAATTTTGATTCAATCAATCGAAATTATCGAGCCGAATAATTATCTTGGTTTCTTCTTTCTCATCGCGTTAAAATCGTATCATGTAAATTTAATAGATGAGATACACGCTTATTTTCTTGTTAAATTTCTTCGATTCTTTGATTCTTCGATTCTCGCAGTTTATATATTTTTTCCCGCTAAATTGCGAGTCTTCGATTCTCATCATTTATATACATTAAAGAAAAAACATTTTAAAGGCATCGTAATGGAATTTTTTATCTTTGTAATGAGCTCTTAATTTCATTCCTTTAAGGAAAATGATTTTAAAAAGAAAAATGACAGGATAAAAAAGTTTATAATAAATACTTACTAAATAATAAAAATTCGGTTGAGTAAATTTATTTCTATTTGTTTATTTCTATTTTATTAAATTATGAAAATTCATTTATTTATTTTCTTTCATTATTGATTATGATTGTCGTGTTTATTGTTAACTTTAGAAATGGAAATTGAATTATTGGAAATATAATAGATACTCGTATTATATTATGATAATGTTTGTATAATATTTGGTCACATGCAATCATCTAAAATAATATTTCCATTATCATTATATTATTATATTATTGCGTGTATTTTCATAAAATTTTGATAAAATAACATTATTAGTAATATTTTCGCGATGCCCCAAAAAATTATGTGTAACTTGAATATAGTTAGAATTGAACAATTTTTTAGGATTCTGCTTCACGTACTTGCATTATGTCCTTGACTAGTTTTAATAAATTATTTGCTGCGAAAAGAGAAATTATTTTCAAGAGAAAATAATTAAAAATATTTTATTGGTATGTTTATTGATTCCTCTTAAGGTTACAAGTATAGAAATATTTTATTATTTATGGCTAAAATAAAAAAAAGGACGGAAAATATCCTTATAAAAAAATATACCAAACTAAACATTGGCGGCCCAAAATCCAAATTGAGTGTTAACCCCCAAATAAATTTCCAAAGGAATTGTTAATACTCAACTTAAGCGTTATTTCGGACCTTCATTGTTTATTCAAGTAAATCAATAAACATACCAATAAACATACCAACTTGAGTATATATTTTTGTAAAAATATACATATAAGAATAGTTTCGATTCTCGTGGACACTGATGGTCGCATCATGCACGTGCAAAGTGCAGCCGCACTGTGTTCTACACGTGGTGAGAGCGGGCAACCGTGTATTATGCCTCTTCATTTTCTTCAATTAATGTCACACGCATCAAAAGAGTAACTACCAGTAAAAAGCAAATAGTATGATTTATTGTCCATTATCCAATCTGCTCGTTTCAAACCCTTTGAACTAAACTATGTCGATGAATGTATAACGTAATTCTATTCTTTTTTAAAGGAGGATTAAAAAACAATATCGCATAAAAGGAATCAAATCTTATGTTACATTGTATCAATATATTTCAATTTAACTTTTGATCTTTCTCGAGTTTCAAAAATACAGAACTGAAATATGACGAAGCCAACGCGAAGAACAAATTCTTCCTCAAGCGTCGAATCGATCAATTGAGTTGTATTTGTAACACGAGAGTGATTATTCATCTTACAATCATAATAAATTCGTCACTATTCAGTGCAAGTAGAAGTAATACATGACGGTTTTTAAATAAATTAATTAAATAAATACATGATTGAAAAAATCCATCAAAAATCAATCCATCAAATATTGACCTCACCTTCAAAAAATAATTTAGAAAATCTTTCTAAATATATAATAAATATATAATAAA